ATATATATTAATTATAATCCTCATATGTAATTTATTTATAAATAAATTTAAACTTTATATAAATTTTCTAACCTATTAAATTATAAATAAGTCATTATTCATTTACCGTAAGTTTTTTTAGAACTATTAAACACTATTTCATAGTTCTCAAAATCAATTATTTGGACAAAACTAATATATATAGACTCTTGATCTAATCTTTTTGCTCTTTTAACTTCCCAATAATCAATTGAAAACATCTAATAAATTTAAGATCTATGTAGTTCTAAATTTTTATCCTGATCAAATACCAAAAATATAAAGAAAAATAAGGAGGGAAGATACATTACTTGCCTAATTTTTAGAAGCCTCAAAATAGATGAACTAAAATATTAGAATCTAACTGGGAAGTTCACACACTATCTCCCCTTTCACACTCTCTTGGCCCTCGCCTCCGCCTAGAAGCAAAAGGCCTGCTCTCTCTCACGCCATACGTAATTTTTTTTTTTGTTTAGAAAATTACACTTAAGTCTCATAAAAAAAAACTTTAATTACCAACAAGTCTCATAAAATATATAAAATATCCCAAGTTTTAAATTCTATACATTTATAATTTAGTGAAGGGTATTTACAATTAGACAACAAGTGTTTATAACTTACTGTATAAATTATCATTTTTCTTTATGAGTTGTAAATGCCTCTTGTTCAATGTAAATGCCATTTACCAATTTATAAATGCATAAAATTTGAGAGTTGAGAGTATTTGGTGCATTTTATAAAATCTCTATGTAATTAAATCTCTTTTGTAGGACTTAGGTATATTTTTTTTTTTTTTGGGCAGGCATGCCATTAGTAAATGACATAACTAAGATCCTGTTTGGTTATTAAAAAGAATGAAATGAAATACATTAAAAAAATAAAAATAAAAATAAAATGATTAAAAAAGATGATCAACCACGTAAATAAGGCAAAGAGTAATTTAGTCTATATGATTGGGAATGATAATTCATAAGATTTTTTTAGGGTTTAATGATTCTCACATTGATAATATATATAATAAGTTCATGCTTACCATAGGAATAAAGGTAATTTAATTTATTTTTATATTAATTTTGTCAATATATTCTATTCTATTTTATTTTACTAACCAAATGTAACCTAAAGGTACTAATAATACCCTCCCTTGTGATCAACCAGTGGTTTGTCCACTATTAGATTGCATGTTATTTTTTAATTTTTTTTGAAATTATTTATATATATTTCATAAAAAACTATCTAATTATATATATATATATATATTTTTTGAGACTTTGAAAATTTATAATTTTAGGTTAAATTTATATATTTAACTAATATGGTAAATTGAAATACTTATTTTAATATCTTTTTTAATAAAAACATATTTTTATAAATTTTTTGTTTTAAAAAAATCATATTTTTAATCTCTTTTTTGGAGTAAAGTATCCAATTACCCTGAAATTTTATCTCAATATTACTGAAATTCTAAAAAGAAAATTGGGATGTCACACACACATACATATTCGTGTAATAATTATATTATCATAACTAGTGAACAATAATCAACGATCAGTTATCCTAGTGACACAATGACTTTCCTCTTTTGATAGAAGTTTTGAGTTCAAACAGAGCATTCACATACTTATATATTCAGTGTGGGTGTGTGCGTCTCGCCTTTTTTTTAAAAAAAGGATTAGCTTAAAGGTAAAATTAAAAAAAAAAGTGAGCAATATAATTAGCTGTTAAATTTTATAAAATTGACATACTCAATCGGCTCTCCTGCCTCCGGCTCACCATTGGATCGGTCTTGTCACATTCAATGACGTGGGCTCGAGAGCTGGCACCTGCTCTTCTCTGCCCATTCCCTTCCTCTCAGAATTTAAATACTCCAAAGCCACGTAATTTCGTCGTGGCGATGATCATATCGTAACCGCCAACGTCAAGTGCCACAAAAACTCGTCCAGGTTCAAACGTTGTTCAGCTGCCTCCGTCTCTTTTTTTGGGTTTATTTCAGATCAAACGGTCATTTCCTTCCCATTATTGCGTGGGATGAAAAGAAAATCGGACAGTGATTATAAACTTGTTTGGTTTCTGTTTTTATTTTTTTTTCAATTATTAAAATAAAAAATTAGAAAACTCTTTTAATTGGGCTGAATGTAAAACTGTTATCATTTTTATTAAAAAAAATAGAAACAACTTAAAATTTTTTTTCATTTCATTTTTCTTATTTTCAAAACAGCTATATTTGATTATTAAAAATTATAATTATCTCGACTAATTTTTATAATAAATCACCATCTTTGATTTCCCTCTATAATTATTATCAACATATTTTTTAAATTTTAACATTATTTTTAAATTAACATAATCAAATATATTTTTATTTTTTTTGTTTTAAAAATAATTCTAAAAATTATTATAATAAATATTTTTTAAAAACAATAAATAAACGAAAACCAAACATGCCTTGGAAAAAAGAGCTTCCCAGGAGGAACACTATCAGTTTGATCTCAACAGTAGCCGCCGTATCAGCCAGCGACGCTACGGTATTGAACATATCAGAACAGTTAAAAAAATAAAAGAAAATTCAGGAATTGGATCTCTGATTAAGATTAATTTCAGAAATAAACGACATTTTCCCCAAAACAACTGAACAAGAAAGATTTAGAGGGGAGTATAAAAATTAAAAAGAGCGACTTCCAGTCAAACCTAGAACTACAATATTCAATATTGAAGTATCCAATAGGCGACAAACTCTTGGTTCGTGCAAGCGCACGCGTCACCGCATCACGATCTTTTCTTCCTCTTCATTAATTGTCCTTCCCTCACAAAAGTACAAAAAATCGAACCATGCCTGTCACGCCTGAATCGTGATTTTTGGAGGGGGGAATCATTGAATATAGAAAAAATGAGAGTCGTAACGAAGGTTTTTTTGGGAAACCATATAAGAACAATGATAGTTTACAAGATAAAATTTGGAGTCAACTGTATATAAAAAAAATTAAACACCTCATGATGCTCACATATAAAAATATTTATTTTAAATTAATTATATAAAATTAATTGACCTTTTAATATACTTTAATTACCCTTTTTATTTACATGCAAAATAAATAAAAAATTATTTATTTATATGAAAGGACTTCATTTAAGATAAAAGCTTAGAGCCTATATAATATAACAAAGATAAAAATCCAAGTAATTTGAGATATTGTTATTTAAAATTTTTATTCTTTATTTTTTTATGAAAAGAATATTCTTTTATGTTGATATTTATTATTTTTATTAGGAAAAACATAAATTTAAGTCTTTACATTTTGCTTGTATTTTATTATTGATTCTTACACTTTTTTTAATATTTTAAGTCCCTATACTTTTATTTTCTATTATTTTAAGTCCTTCTAAAGTTTTTAATTTTTGTTCATAGAGGGATTTAAAATAATAAAAAATAAAAGTACAATGACTTAGAATATAAAAAAAAGTTCACGAACCAATAGCAAAATGCAAGTAGAGTAAAGAGACCCAAAATTTTTTTTATTGTTGTTATATTTATTTAAAAAACTGGGTCTCAGAGAATACCTTTGGGTAAAAAAAAAATTAAAGATTTAGCTAGTAATAGAACATGTAGTAATTTAATATCACTCACAAAGTGTTGGTTAATACTTTAAATGTACAAAATAATTTAATATTACTTATGGCGAACTTTAAAAGAAATTTTCAAAAAGAGTATTCTGAAAAATAATTTAATTATAACATTTTTAATATAAAGTCTCATAACTGTAATGACTTGGTGTCATTCATAATATCTAAATTGATGATTTTAGGAATCCACATTAACTTAATATCGTCCACAATATAGCCTAAAAATGTGCCAATAATTTTATTATTTTTTACCTATAATGATTTAGTATGATTTACAATATCTTATTTAATATTTTTAGAAATCAATGATAATTTAATATCACTCATAATGTAATTTAAATATATACAAATAAATTTTATTATTTTAAAATAATGTACAATGAGATTTTTATACATATTTTCTCTATTAATTGTTTTATAACCACACGTTAACATGATAGATAAATTATAAATTAATTATAATGTCATACCATTTTGGTATATAAATGTTACTTTTTTTATAAAAAATAATTTTAAAATATTTTTTAAATATTACTTAAAAAGTTATACCATAACTTAAAAATAAAATTAAATATATCTTTTAAAATATAATTTATAAATAAGATAATGACGAGTTATTTCTTTTTTAAAATATAAAATAATTTTATTGTGTGTGTTATTTGATAATTTCATCAAAAAAATTTAAACTGCAATAAAAACAAAAAATATTCTATAAAACATTAAATTTAGAGCCAACTAGTTGAACTGACATGTACTCCGAGATCAATTTCGGTGTTCATCACAGTGATGAGCACCATCTAGACCATCCAGATTTTGATCTGGATGGTCCAGATTTCAAATATTATTATATATTTATTTAATAAAATAAAATATATAAAAATTATAAAATAATTTTAATACATGTTTTATTTTTAATATGGCCTAGATTTAATTTAGATAATCTAATTTAAATTAGATGAACCCTCTAAATTAAATCTAGGCCATATTAAAAAAAAACTGTATTAAAATTATTTTATAATTTTTATATTTTTATTTTAGTAAATATAAAAATAAAAATATATAATAATTTTTTAAATTTAAATTATTTAGATCAAAATTTAGATTATTTAAATTAAAATTTGGATGATCCAAATATCATTGCAATAATGAGTGTCGAAACCGGTCTCCATGTGGCAAAAGGATAAGAGTGAGAATTTTTTTGGATTACAAAAATCAACTCACGTTTCAGTTGGCTGACTGACACAGCTCCGCAACGGAAGCCGTGAGAAACCAAAATTCAGTGATAAAAAGGGGTCCAGACTCAATCAACATTGTGGTGCTCCCAGTGCCCGAAGGAGCTCTGTTTTACTATAAATAGCTGTGCCTTCTGCGGTTTGGTTCTCAAAACTAAGCGCATTATTAGCCATCTCCTTCTCAACTCTTATATTCTCTGCTGTTTCAGGATAATCTTCCATGGGAGAGGTAGACGCAGCCTTCATCCAAGAACCTCACCACAGGCCCAACCCCTCACTCATACAAGAGGCCCAAGGCATCCCTCTCCTCAACCTCTCTTCCCCTGACGTCGACGCCCTCGTCTACGACATCGGCCGTGCCTGCAAGCACTGGGGCTTCTTCCAGATCATCAACCACGGCGTTCCGGAGGCGCGCCTACAGAAGCTGGAGGAGACGGCTCGCAAGTTCTTCCATCTCAGCCTCGACGAGAAGAGGAAGGTCAGGAGAGACGTCGGAAATGTGTTGGGATATTACGACACAGAGCACACCAAGAACGTCAGGGATTGGAAAGAGGTGTTTGATTACGCTGTCAAAGAACCCACTCTCGTCGCCGCCTCCGTCGAAGAAGGCAACAACGGAGTGGCTCTCTGGGAGAGTCAATGGCCTCAAAACCCTCCTGAAATGAGGTAAATTAATCACACAGAATTATATTTATTTATATCTTGAAGTTCACTTTAGACATGTACGTGAGTAATATTGAAGCCTTGTGATGTGAACCATGTGCAGGGAGGTGTGCCAGGAATATGCGAAGGACATGGTGGAACTGGCCATGAGATTGCTGGAGCTAATCGCCATAAGCTTGGGGCTACCGCCGAGAAGGTTTAAAGAATTCCTCAAGGACCAGACCAGCAACGTCAGACTAAATTGCTACCCACCTTGCCCGGCGCCTGAGCTTGCCCTCGGCGTGGGTCATCACAAAGATCCTGGAGTGCTGACCATCCTCGCTCAGGACGACGTAGGTGGGCTCGAGGTGAAGCGAAAATCCGATGGTCAATGGGTCGGAGTCAAGCCCATACCCAATGCTTACATCATCAATGTTGGTGATGTTATCCAGGTGCATAAACTGACACACACTCTTCCATAAATATTATGAAATACTCAGCGCGAAGTTGGAATGATATTGAGGGTGTGACTGGGATGAAACAGGTATGGACGAATGGAGAATATGAGAGTGTGGAGCACAGAGTGATGGTGAACTCGGAGAAGGAAAGGTTTTCGATACCATTCTTTCTGAATCCTTCGCACTACACAGTGGTGGAGCCTCTGGAGGAGATTACCGACGAGCAAAACCCGCCCAGGTACAGGCCTTACAATTGGGGCAAGTTTCAACTCACCAGGAAGCGTAGTAACTTCATGAAGCAACGGTGTGAAAATATCCAGATCCACCATTTGGAGAATATTCAGTCCAAAAATTATATGTAGTAAATGATAAATTATATTATATATTGTATATTAATAGTTCTAAAACTATAGTTAAGGTGTTTAAAATTAAAATGTGAGTTTTTTTTATAAGTATAATTTTAAATAAGTTTTTAAATAGACTTTCAAATCAGATCAAGTTTTAAATAAATTCAAGTTTGAATTATAAAAAAATCTTTATAGGCTTCAAGTTAAATTCAAATTTCTTTATTTATCACACAGGATCAAACCTCTTCGACCAAAGCATGGCTTGATTTAACCCATTTTCACCCTTATTGCTAGCCAGTCATTCAAAAATGGCTCCTTGTTTGCTTGTATTGGATTGAATTAAATTTAATAGCTGTTTTCTTGTTATTTACTCCTACAATCCTATTTAGTATTTATATAACAAAGAGGGTGTTTATTTTAGTCATATTTATATGAATAATTGTTATATCCATCTTTATCTTTTTATCCTTATTAAATGTTGGGAAGTAAGTATTAAATAGAATATTATAGCATTTTATTTTTAAAGTATGTATATTTAATAATTGAAAACTTATTGAATTTTTAGATAGAATTAATAATATTTAAATTAAGAAAATCAAGAAGTTTGCAATGAAAGATTGAATAATCACTTTTGACCACGTTTTTCAAAAAGCTAACAAATGCATTGATATGCTCACTCACCAAGTTCCTCAAAACAATTATGATTTTATTGTTTTTATTGATCCTCCTATAGGATGCAAAGTCATCTTGAATTTTGATATAATTCTCTTACCTTTTGCACGGTTTTTATTGTGGCCGTAAATTTAAAAAAGTTTAAATTAGAAATAAAGTAACTTTTAGTCCCTTGCATTTAGAGTTCTGTCAATTCGGTCTCTCAACTATAATTTATATTATTTCTGTCATTAATGTTTACTTTACTTATAAGGTTACTTCTTTAAGTTTTGCAAGATAAAATAGCCCTAAAAAGAAGCTGACATGAAATTAGATTGCTGACATGAAATACATACATAGATTAAATAAAACACATTAGCTAAATCTGTCACTTCTTAATTACTTATCAGAAACCCATGACAGCGATGACAATATAATAAAATATATAACAAAATAAATACTCTCTCTTTTTAAAAATAAAAGGAATTTTTAATTGAATTTTACCTATCAATAAAATAGTTACCTACTTTTCAATTAACTCTATCTTTCTGTATTTATTCCATTAAATACTCTATAATAAATATAAAATTATTATCAATAGGAGTATTTTTAAAAAAGACAATAATTATATATCAAAAAATAAAAATGTCTTACATTTTTAAATATCCAACTCTTCAAAAAATGTCTTATATTTTTGAACGAGGGGAGTAACAGATAAATAATTAAGACTTGGCAAATTTGATTGATGTGTTTTATTTAATTCATGTGTGTATTCTAAATGAGCAATCTAATTTCTATATCAATTTTTTAAGGCTATTTTTTCTTACAAAACTTGAAGGAGTAATTCAATAATCGAAGCAAATATATAGAATTAACTCCCAAACATAAAAGACTAAAAATTGCTTTACCTCTTCTAATTAACTCTAATGAACATGCTAAAAATAACTTATAGAAAGGATTGAATGGAGTAATGTCCTCTTATTTGGAATAAGAAGTTAAGATGTAATATTTAAAGGCAACAGCTTCATTGTATATTCTTGAATGATAATTAATCAGGATATGTTGTGGTATTTGGAATGCTTTGCAAAGTTATGTGTGATGCGTGCCACGAATATAAAGGTGAACACATCAAAGCAAGAATAAAAGTATTTTAAAATAATTTAATATATCACCAAGATTTACAATGAATAACATTAACAATTAACTGATGAAGTCGAAATCTTAGCAACTACCATTGAATCGAAATCTTAGCAACTACCATTGAAGAAGTGAGTATTTGACAGATAAAAAAGAAAAGTATCATTGATGATTAATAACGCTTTTCCAAACTAATAAAATTTAGTTCAATTAAAAAAAATTGAACATATAATATATTCTTATTGTGAATTCAAATTTCACTATAATTGCAAGGATTTCATTGATAAACGATTTATAAGTAGGCTTTTGTAATTTAGCTTATATTATAATATCAAACCAAGTGAACAGATCAATATTTATTATATTTGACATTATGATTAATTTCTTATATTTTGTATATTGATGATAAATTTTTTTATAAATTTTTAAATTTAATTATATTTTCTAGATATAAAATTTTTTTAACCAATGAATTAATTTATCCAATTTATAAGTACCTATGCGAGCGATTTTTTGAAGTTTGGAAAGATGTCGCCCCTTGCGAGTGCCTGATCCAACTTGCTTATGCCCTGTTTGGTATGCTAAAAATAGAAACATAGAAATGAAAATGAAATTACAATTCACTTTTTTTTTTTGTTTGGTATGCATGAAATGGATTTTCATGTGAAAATGAAATCCATCAAAATAGGTTGAATTAGATTCCATAATAAGACCCATGAAAATGAGATGGGTTTCATGGAAGTGAATTTTTTTGGACAAAAATAACCTCAGTTACAAAATTATTTGACAGATTTACCCCTTCATCAATCATTGAAATAAATCAAAAATTTTTTAGTAAATATGCATATATTAAATAAAAATATATCATAATTAAAAAAAATTAACAGGGGTATTTTAGTATATTAATTATATAGATACATATATTAAATAAAAAAGTTATCATAATTTAAAAAAATAGATAGGGGTATTTTAGTAAATTGATTATATAATTGCATATATTAAATAAAAATATGTCATAATTAAAAAAATTAGACAGGGATATTTTAGTAAATTGATTATATAAATGCATATATTAATTAAAAATATATCATAATTTAAAAAATAGATAGGGGTATTTTAGTAAATTGATTATATAAGTGCATATATTAAATAAAAATATATCATAATTAAAAAAATTGATAGGGGTATTTTATTAAATTGATTATATAAATGCATATATTAATTAAAAATAAATAAAAATATATCACAATTAAAAAAATTGACAGAATATTTTAATAAATTAATTATATAGATGCATTTATTAAATAAAAAGTATATCATAATTCTATATACATATCAAACATACTTTTAAAACTCACTTTATTTTATTTTTATTTTTATTTTATTTTTATTTTTATCAAAAATATTTTTAGGATACTAAATGAAGTATTAATTGTTTTATTAAAAAAAATGCCTTTCCACTGTTCTTTGACCACACGTGGCGGAGACCTTTTATATCAAAGTTGTCAAAGTCAAATCAAAGAGTACGACAGTAATCTCAAACATCAGCTAATCAACACCGCTAAACAAGTTTCTGTTTTATGGAGATCGGGCGGCCACTGTTGCCTCAAGTAATTTAACAATGTTGACTTAAAAACTTTTGTTCATTTTTTAAAAATAAATTAATAGCTTCTTTAAACGAAATTAAATTATGATATGATACAACTATAAGGGTGCGAAAAACCAAACCAATAAACCGATCAGCATTGAATCAAACTAAATAGACTCTGTTCTATTGGGTTTGATCTAATGCGATTTGATTTATTTTTTTAACAAAAATTTTGATTGACCAACTTGGTTTGATCTAATTATTTTTTTTAATAATTACAATATGTCTAAAACTAACCAAACCGCTTTCCCTTATCTCTTGTTTCTCTTTTTCCTTTATTTCTATTTATCTATAATCTTTTTTTTTTTTAATAATATATCTATTATCTTTTTTTCCACAGTCTATTCCATTACATAACTTCTATTAATTTTTTTAACAATATATATATATATATATATATATAAAAGTGGAATCGCAAACAACATGGTGATGCCACAAGTCTTTTATATCTAGATTTTTTTTAATTTAAATTATTTATAATTTTAAATTTTTAAAAGTAAAATTGCAAGTAGCATGATGATGCTACATGTACATGATACTCATATTGAGATTTTTTAATTTAACTTATTCATAATTTTAAATTTTTAAATTAAAAATTATAAAACCACCCCCCATTTCACTTTCAACTTTCTATTAAACAATTCAATTCTAGCATTCATTTGTATTAATTTTCCAAATAGCAAAGGCTCTTATTGATTGCTTCTAAAATTTAATTGTAGATTAAGAATTTATCTTTTCCTAAATCTACACAAGTTCTAAAGTATTTGTAATATCCGCCTTAACATTACTAAGACATACTACATTACAAAATCATGATAACCAAGATCAAATAAATCCTTATATTAAATTATCATAATAAACAAAGATTTAAATTCAAGTAATAAAATTTGAGATCTCAAAAAAATTATTTTTAAAAAAGTGTTTGAACTCAAATGGTAATTTAAAATATCAATAAAAAAGGGTACGAAAGCATGGAAACAAAAAAGCATCAATTAGGTGTTAAACAAGAACAAATTAGACAAGGTCCAACTTGCTCCATTTGCCACAGTGCATGTGTGATCCGCCACAGTGAATGGCACAGAGGGAGAGACCCCCTCATTGTAACTTATGCTATGGTGTGTCTCTACTGTCATGACAACAATTTGGAACCAATTTTCATAGCACGTTGTTTTACTATTTGACACTTGATTAGAGCAATTCAAATGTCTATGTGTAACTAATTAAGACATAACTATTGGCACGGGCTACACAACAAAGTACATCACCATTTAAAATTTGAACACTCGAATATAAAAAGTAACTTTTTCAACTCAAAACTTGACCAAAGGTGTCCAAATGCACCCACCAAATGCCAATAGTCTAGGGACTAATCAAACCAACTCACACGGATCATAACGCACCTAATAAAGCAATTAAATTCATGAAAATACATCTCAAACACAATTTAACCATTAAATCCTCAATTTAACATTAATCAAGGGGTAAAGGCATAATTCAACATCATAGGTCTATGGCCATCCATAAGCATACAATTATCATATTAACAATACTTATACTAGTATTTTAACTTCTTATAACAATTTACACGGAAAATACAATAACCTAGATTGAAATACACCAAAATAGTATCATGTTATCATGTAAGTGCATCAAAACAATATATGTCCTAAGTTAGCATATATATATATATATATAGTTACACAAGTACCAAATGAATGGGCTATACAGTTGATAGCACCTTCTAACTCTTGGCAATGTCATCCTTTCCTTTACTCTTATTGGAGTCTTCACTTGTAAAATAACCACGGGGTGAGAACAATGTATTAATAACTAAATAATCTAATTTATTTATAAGTATGCTAGAATAGTATATGAGCATGTGAAGTGGCAAGTAAATCAAATTATTCAAATACATATCAAGTATAATTACATTTAGGATATATGTATGATCAACACTTCACCTTATATCTTTCTTATTTCTTTTGACTAAATTCATAGGCTAACAATTTAGCTGG